CGCCGGCACAGCCGTTGCCATCGCCTCCACCATCACCCACGTTGTTGTCACAATCGTTGCCATCGCCTCGGGTGCTTGTCTCTTCACCAAGGTCGACTTCTTGTGGCCCAAACTGGAGGAGCAACCAAGCCTGTGAATACACCATCGCAGAGAGGTATCGAAGATTTTGGGTGTTGTGTTGATTGGATTGTAATGGGAGGTATCAGAGATTTTGTGGTGGGTTTGCATGTGAAAGGAAAGATGGGATCTGACAATGGTTTTTGATGCACATTCTCAGAGTTGCTAGTGCCATTTTGAAACTAAATTAGAATCCAGTTTGACTTAGAAATGCAATATTTTTTTATTTTGGATGTAGGTTTGTTAGGTCTATATAGTTCATGTAAATTTGTAATCCATGTTCGATTGATTTATACAATTTTGGGACATTTTTCTTTCTCTTTGATTTTACAGGAAATGGGTATTGAAGAATGGGATTTTGAGATTTTAGCTCAGGAGAGCTTTGCTTTGATTGTAGATGTGTTTTGAGAAAAACCCAAATCTGGGTCTTTCTGCTACTACTGTCGTCGGCCTTCTTCTTCTTCTCTCAAACCTAGATCTGGGTTTAAGAGAAGAAGAAGAAGGCCGATGGTAGTAGTGGCAAAAAGTTTGGCTTGTTGTCGTCAATGGTGACGATCATCACTTGCTTCTCGGTCGTTTGAGAAAACCCAGAGCCTGGGTTTGCAGAGGTAAGAGAAAAGAAAAGGTAAAGGAGAGAGAAAATGAAAAGGGAAGAAGAAATCTGATGTGGGTGAAAAAAAAAAAGAATTATTATTTTTAAATTAAATAAAAATGCCACCTCATAATAAAACATATCTAACTATATATATATTTTTCATGTCATTAGTTAAGCAAAAGAAAAAAATTAATTTGTTGGCATTTTACCGTGACACCTATCATTTAACTGATAGAAGGATCATTTTGATATCAAAAATAAAAATCTGAGGATAATTTTGATACTTTTTAAAGTTAAAAGATAATTTTAGTGTCAAAGTGAAAAGTTGAGAAACCAAAATGGTACTTAAACTATATATATATTAAAGCAGAAACCATTCAAGATAAGTAATGTCATATATCATTTTAACAGGATCTTTCTTAATACTCTTTTGTTGTCATGTATCAATACTTTTCTTATTTGATAAATCTACTATTTTTACTTTAGTTTTTTTCTCCCTTTATTAATTAATTTCAGCCTAACAATTTTTACCATCCTTCATTAAATTTAATTTTAGCCTAGCATGCACTCTTCTTTTCCCGTTTTTATTTTTTCCCACCAACTAACTAATCAAACTTTAATTACAATTTTTTATTTAAAACATATATTTGTTAATTTATGATGATTTTAATTTTTTTTTTTAAATTCTACTATGATATGTCCATCAGATTTTTTTTTATTATTTAATGAAAATATAATTTTAAATCTTATAGAAATAAAAATACTTTAACAAAATACATTATAAGTATATCAAGAATTCTTATAATATTTATAATACGTTTTTATGATGTAATAGTTAAAATATTAAATTTTTATCAATTAATATTAATTAAATAAATTACTATAAAATTAAAAAATGATAATCAAAACTCTCTCTATTTTTCTCACAGCATAGTTTATTATTAGATATGAACATATTTTGTTCAATTCTAAATTACTTGATATTTAAAATATTTTTTTTATTAATACAATTAAAAATTTAGCAATTGAAATATTCACTTTG